CAGTAAGATAGGGTTTTGCTAACAAAGTTGCTATAAAATAAGCCATGTGTGAAGGCAAACCCAACAGCAGGCAACAGGTTTTCAGGTAATTGAGAGGTCTGATCTTTCAGACACTTGAAAAGAACAAGTCACCATCTTAATCAAAAGCGCTTGTTCATTTTCCTAAGGCAGTGGTGAGTCTGAACCCTCTACCTATGTGTTTCTTCAGATCCGAGGTATTTTGCTGCATTACAGCCCTCACTCCTGATGTACAGAAAGAGGAAACTTCCCCTTCCATGATACACACAGAAGTGACCCTTCCAAACCTTCCTCCTCTGATACTTTGTGAAGGGGATCCTCCCCCAATCGACATGCTTTACATACAGTTTTGGCTTCACACGCACGACACAGTGCAGTGTATGTGCTGACCACTAACAAGCCTAACAAGATGCTGCTTGGAATTATGGTGGCATCTCTCTCCCTAGCAATTGTCTACTTTTTGTAAACATGGACATTAATTTAATGTTTGGCATATAGGTAAGGCTTGAGTGTGTAAAGCTCAGTGCTTTAAGCATATCTGGATAATCTTCACATTCTGGACATGGTAGGACAGTGCCCTAGCTTTCTGTCTTATGAGCACCAGAATGAGTGTAAGATTGCAATACAAGAAGGGAAAAGGGCTTCCCTACATGGCTCTATGCTCCTTCTTTCCTGTAGTCAAGTATGGTTAATTCTTCACCACACAGACTCTCTTGATCCTCTAACAGCTGCCTCTCTATCTCTGGAGCACTCTTAAGTGGGCATGTTACGTTCTCTCTTCCTTCACAGCTGTTTTGGGTCCAACCGCTTTTTTTTATTCTAACCACATTTCTGAAAGGACAATGTGCATCATATTCTGTACTATTGCTTCTTTGTTTCTTCCCTTGGAGCTTCCTTCCTATTTTCTCTGCTGTATTGTCAGGCAATTCCCTTCCTCATTTCCCTGGTGCTGGAAGGATTTTCCCCACTTTTGTTTCGAACAAATAATTTATCTCAGGTCAATACAAGAATACAAAAATTAAGTATATGAGAGCACTTTGCACCTCCATCTTTAAACACATTTATCCATATCTCACATGCCACCTGTTGTACATGATCCAGAGGGAATGTAGATCTGTTGCAGGTCTCATTTGGGAAGTGTGATTCTGTAGCTCATGAATTTAGCTTTAGCTAACCCAGATGCCATTGCACAAACATTTATTGATAGTGTTTCCATTATTTGAAGGGTCCCATTGTCCCCAACAGTCAGCTGAGTCAGAAATCAGACTCCGGGTCTTGCTCTCTTTGCCTGTTTGTTATGAGCCACTTTTTAAGCCATACACCCACATCCATTTGTACGGGTGCAGCTTTTCCTTATAAAAATCACTTTCACACATTTTAAGCATTATCATTTGTGTGCACTATGGTGGAATTTACTTACATGGACCTACCTACACACCATTTATGCATACAAATGGAGGTTTGAATATGTAAACTTGTGTAGAAGTACTGAAGAATTGTGCAGATGAAGCTGCACACAGTCAGATAGGGCCAAGTTCCACACGACCCCTACACTTTTGGCATATTTTATATGAAAGGAGAGATAAAAGACAATTGTGAAAACATGTGCCAATTGGATCCCCTCTTTTCTGCTGTCCAGAATCCAGATGTTCTACTACAACTGGTTTCTTCAGTTAGGGGCAAACGGTCAAATGAAATTCAAAACCTGGCACTGATAGTTTCTTCCAGCCTTAGAAAGCACTGAGGGTAGTTGCCAAGGGGAAGGCGCAAAGAAAGAACTGTTGCTTGTAACCTGGCCTGAAATGCGACACACCACCACCACTCAAATCCTTCCCCGTGTTCCCTCCTCCATTCCACATGTGCATCTGCACTTTAGTCCATTCTGTTGTAACATTAACTGAAGGCAATGTTTGTGCTGATGTCTGTGACAACATTTCCCCTCTGCTTGCGCCACTGCACATACTGGGGAAAGGTTTAAATTCCAATGCAGCAATATTGACTTTCATTGTCGTGTTTTTCAGGTCCAGCTGTGTCTCTGCCAGGGACTGGATTAGACAAACACCCTTGTTTGTTTAAAACACCAGTAGACCTTGCTGGAAAGCTGGTGCAGAACATTCTATTTAGCCACTATGCTGCATCTGATTTTTTGCATTTTCTGTATTTTGCTTCCTTTGTTGTAGCTCTTCACTCTCCTTCCAATTTTTTTAAAAGTTACATTTTGTGAACAATAGAGAAACAATAGTCATGGGCCAGAGTTTCAGCTGGTGTAAATCAGTACACCTCCACTAAAGATGCTAGATCTAAGAATTTATATCAGCTGAGGATCTAGCCCATAACTTGAAATGATTGGCCTTTCTCCACTAAGCAGAATTACAAATGGCTGGCACATTAAAAATATTGGCAACATCAATAACAGAGCCAAGCATAGATTCCTGTTGTCTGCTGCATTCCAGTTTCCTATCTACTGGACCATGCACTCTCTCTTGAGTAGGCCTTTATAATTTCTGTTGATACATTGATGGAAGCCTCTTTTTATAAGGCAGCCACAGTTAAGTAATATTCAATGATGGGCCACGTTCTGCCTCCCTTGCTCATAATGAGCAGTACTTTACTGCCTGAGTGGCACATCTGAAATCAAAGAAGCTATTTCTGTGTTTAAGGCTGGCAGAATCTGGTGATAGATAACAAAATCTATTCACCAAAAGGATGTTTAACAAAGCCTCTCCTCTGATTCCCAGGCTACTCCCTAGGTCCTCCCTCCTCTTTGATATGTAGGACTGCCTAGCTGGGCCTTCTCACTCTAGGACTCTTACCACAAAGAGTAACTCTGTATCTGAGGGCCTTTTAGCTTACCTCCCTACCTCTTCTTTTTTTACAGTATGTCTACACAGCAACATTATTTCGAAATAAATTAGTCTGTCTACACAGCAGGCAGTTCTTTTGAAATAATGTCGAAATACTGTCACGGTGGAGGAGTTCTTATTCCGACTCCTGTAACCCTCATTGGACAAGGAGTCAGGGAAGTCGGAGGAAGAGTGCTCTGTTTTGAAATAAGTGCTGTGTAGATGCTCCCTATTTCAATTTCACAGTAAGCTATGCAATTGACATAGTTCAATTTACATAGCTTATTTCGAGTTAAGTCCTTCTTTCACAGCAATAAGCCACCAGATCAAGATCAGCTGGGGGACAACTACTAGGTGACAGGCCTACCTGAGTCTAACCTGCTTTAAAGGCCCTGCCATCCTGTGATAGATTTGAACTGGACTGAGAGTCAGAAAATTAGGGGTATATTACTGGCTTAGTTACTGACCTGCTCTTTGAGTGCAGGCAAGTGTGTGCTACTGTGTTACCCCCTCCCACAATTGTCTGTTTGGTCTTTTTAGAACATCTCTCTCAGTATCCATTTGTGTGGCACCTAATCTTGGTTGGGACCACAGAGACTGTAATAAAAATAATTAATTATAATAAGAATCAAAGTAGGGACCTAATTTCTTCTCGAGCTTTTTAGAAAGATGAATGTGAGAGAGATGAGGCCATGACATCTGGCAGGAAGGACCCCGTCACAAAAGTGTGATCACAGGGCTATACAGCCTAACCATTACTGTAGAATACTGGCCTACTCCTCTATCAAGGTTCTGGAACGTATTTGTTTCATGGGACAATGATACTTTCATACTCCACCCAAAGAACAAACCCAAGCTATCAAATGTGTTTTCCTCCCTTATCTAACTTTAACAAGAGCATACACCACCTCAGGACAGGCAGACCTTGACTCTCATTCTGGTGAGCATTTTCAGCTGCCAAGTCTCAACCATACCCTGATGAAATAGGAATGGATTAGGATCCATTTGCAACCTAATATCTTGTATTTAGTAGGATTAACTCAGCTCACATTTCATTTGTTTTTCTGTGAAACTGAACTAACACTTCATGCAGTTCTGAAAGGAGCCCCACGCATACAATTTACAGACACACAGCAGGGAAAAAAAGAGATGAGAAAGCATTGAGCCACACTAGCAAATATTGACAAGGCAGACCAGAGAAATGGGAGAGGGGGTTGTTGGATACAGTGGGAGATAAGAGAACTCTTAGTTACTTAGGAGCAAAGTGTCAAACCTGCTTTGCAAAGAACTTTGCTTGTCAGCAATTAACGTGTGTTAACTTTGTCCCAGATTTTAAAGGTTTAGCTACAGGCTTGGCGGAATTTTTTTTTCTAATTCTGAAAGACAATATCAATGTTTATCTAAAGGTTTTTTTTTAATTTTACCATATTAAATTTTCAGTTGTAGGAAATTATGGAGAAGGATCAATCAATAATTATTTGAATCTCAGTATCTAAAGTTATTAAACAAAGCTTTACAACTGAACATGAATTGTCAAAATATGTGGTAAGAATCTTTAAATCAAGCTATAAGGCTCCCAAGTAGCATTTTTCTCATTTTGCTGATCTGTAAATTTTGATTATTATGGATGGAAATATTTGGCAGTTTCTGTGTGTCCAGTGAAATTGACATTTACCAATTTTTTTTAAAAAATCTAATCCTCCCAAACCTTTTTACCTAACTGCTTTTAGGCTCTGAGCAAATCTACTTAAACCAAAAATCCACTTTTTGATTCTCTTCCCCAAGGGGACTTAGGGAGGACACTTAATAGTAGCTGCTGCAGTCTATTCTGCTCTGATGTGAAGACTAACTGCAAAGGAGAACTTGAGGTGTATTTCCAGACTCTGCTGGAATGGTCATTGTTGCCATTTTCTAATAGAAAAGGAGACTGAACTGGTATTTTTTGCACTCAGGTGGAATGGATTTTACATTGCAACCTCTGGGAGAGAAGAAGAGCCTGAACTAGAATTCACTGCACATTAATGTGGAGTCTTTTCCCATGATCTGAAAGGAAGGAGGGGCTAAGGGTTAATGTACTGAAGTCTAGACCTGCCACTGACATCCTGGATGACTCTGGGCAATTATTTAGCCTCTCTGTCTCATTACCCATCTGTAAATGAGGTTAATGGCACTTCTTTGCCTCTCAAGACGATAAATACACTAAAAACTGTGGGGCTTTCTGATACTGAGTTATAAGATAGGTGGGCCTGGCAGGAGGACGTATACGCACATAGATCAATGACTTAGGAATACCGAGCCTCACTTCCACCAGAAGAAAGTACACGAGACCGTTGCATTTGTATTCAATAAAACATTATCCATAGTATAACTCAGCTTGGAACAATGGGCCTCTCTGTGTATCTCCTCCAGAACTGCCACCATGACCCACCCATTTCCAGCACTGACTCCAGAGCAGAAGAAGGCCCTGTCTGACATAGCTCAGCGGATTGTGGCTCCAGGGAAGGGGATCCTGGCCGCAGATGAGTCCGTGGGTAAGCTGATCAGTTATTGATACTTTGTCCTTCAAGACATTTTTTATTTTGAAATAGTTTGATACACCAGGCAGGAGTAAAGGAATCCCCCATCTTTCTCCAGGAATGAGCAATCCACCAGGTCAGGGTTGGGGTCTGTTGACAAAACTGTGAGGGCATAGACTGAGGAGAGAAGCACGGGTCTCTACAGCCAGGGAAGGCCTAATTCTTAGTTACTCCATCCTTACAATTATACAAGTGGAATGAAAGGACAATCAATCATGCTCAATATCATGCTCTCTGACCTTTGGCCCTTCTTGCTAGGTACTATGGGGAACAGACTGCAGAAGATTAAGGTGGAGAACACCGAGGAAAATCGCCGGGCCTTCCGAGACATCCTCTTTTCCTCAGATGCCTCCATCAATCAGAGCATTGGGGGAGTGATCTTTTTCCATGAGACACTCTATCAGAAGGACAGCAATGGAAAGCCATTCCCCAAGGTCATCAAGGATAAAGGCATTGTGGTGGGAATAAAGGTGAATATCTGCAAGGGCCCTGCTAGCACAGTAAGCCAGAGCCCTTCCCAGCATGACTTTGCACAGGCAGGGATCTCGCTGACAAACAATACTCGTTCATCAGTCAGGCATCATTTTCTGTATCTGCATTATCCCTGCAGCCAATGCCTCTGTATTAGTCACCAAGGCACATCTACAGCCACTGAACAAATCCCCCCACCTGCTAGAATTCTTGCTTCATCCCCCCGTCCTCTTGGTCTTAAAACTCTTGGATCCATCCTCTCCCCGGCTCATCAACAATTCTGCCCCAATAATCAGTTCATTGTCATGCATTGTTCTCTCCTGCAAGTTCCCCATTCCCTAGCACTTGTTTTAGGTCTCCTCCAATGGCTTTGCTCACCAACCTCCTGCATCTCTTGTTACAGTGACTCCTGCTGGCAAAGGCTGAGAAGTCGGTACTCACTCTGGGTTACAGTAGCAGAAATTATCCTGACCTGTTAATAACTAATGCATCTTCCTTTCCACTTATCTCCATAGCTAGATAAAGGAACAGCCCCACTGGCGGGAACAAATGGTGAAACCACCATTCAAGGTGAGACATTTCCTCGGACATCAAAATGGGGTTGTACTTCCTGACAAAAAGAGATTTAAATGGCTGGAATGTTGAGGGCTCAGCTGTAGTTCTTAAATTAAAGCCATGTGAGGTGGGGAGGTGTTCTTCAGAAGCAGCAGGAAGCATGGTGCTTGCAGAGAGCAGGAGAAAAATCGTGTCTCCAAAGGTGCCAGGGGAGGGAGGAATATGCACCCCTTGCTCCACATTTAGACAACTGGGTGTAATGCACTCCTCCACTACCACAGCCTTCCAGACACCAGCCAGCATGCAGAGAGCAACCTCCCCGTGCACAGAAACATCCCTTTTGACTTGATGAGCACTGCCAGCAGCACCAGTGGCTGCAAGGTAATAAGCAGGCAGAAGGGTAATAAGACACAAGGGCTCAACCTTCATGTTTCACCAGCTGGGATCAGGAAGCATTTATCCCCTCATCACGCCCCCAAGTTAACATTATATAATTGTTCATGTGCATTTCGGGGGGTGGAATTAGATGGCCATTTCCCCCTGAGGTGTCAGAGTCAGGATATAACATTATGGACTAATCCTCTGACCTTGTGTAGCAGCTTCTGTTTCTAATATTATGGGGTTTGCATTATTACTGTCCAGAGGTTTTACTAACCAGAGAAAATATCTTGGGCTTCTCTATCTACCATCCCACCTCTGAGATTTAATTCCCCGAGGATCACACTATGAGTAGCTATTGCATTGGGCATGCACAGAGTGGAAGCATTTTGCACATCCCCAGGATAGGGTGCAGAAGGGCCACGTAACAGCAGTCTCCATGACAAGACATTGTTCACTCCTCCTTCCATTGGCCAAATGAAAAGTAGGAGTCACAGGCCACATCCATCTCCACACCAGCACTGCATCCTCTATCCCATCTACTGGTTGTAGGACACAAAGTTCAGCCCCAATAAATCTGGGGCTCTAAACAAGGCACTTAACTTTGCTTTTATTACTTGCAGGGCTGGATGGGCTTGCTGAGCGCTGCGCCCAGTATAAGAAGGATGGTGCTGATTTTGGCAAGTGGCGTGCTGTGCTGAAGATCACAGACACAACTCCCTCCACTCTAGCCATCCAGGAGAATGCCAACACGCTGGCACGCTATGCCAGCATCTGCCAGCAGGTATAAACTCTCAATGAGTGAGATAAATAGTTCTCTCCTTTCATGTGATGTGGGAATAAGTTGTGTCCTTTCCTGCCCTCTTTTGAAACAGTTCCCATGTCTGAGAGCATCCCTCTTTGTCTATCATGTCGAAATAGTCTTTTGGTATCTTCTCTGGTTAGGGAGTTCTCCTTGCTTTACTACCCCTTTCTCAAGTTATCCACAATAGGGCAATTCCTCTTCCAGATTTCCAGCAATTTCTTTGTTTTTCCATTCTTAGCACGGGCTGGTGCCCATTGTAGAACCGGAAGTCCTACCTGATGGAGACCATGACCTCCAGCGCTGTCAGTATGTTTCAGAGAAGGTAAGACTCTTACCTACCAAACATGTCCCATTTTCATCAGCAGAATAGTAATAATACTTGGCTCTTAAACAGAGCGTTGCATCCATAAGTCTCAAAGCACTTTATCTCCATTTTACAGACAGGCACAGGGGAGGGAAGGAGGTACTGAAAGAATAAGTTAGTTGCCCAAGGACACACAGATAAGGGACAGAGGTGGGAACAGTGCCCTAGCTCTGAGGCCATCCTATACAGGTTTGTAGTTTTCCCATTTCAGAGCAAGGTATGTTTGAGAGGCTAATGTCAAGAATTCCATGACAATCGAGAGTCAATTCCTTGATCAGCCCAGGGGAAAAAAATACTTTCCCACAGCAGGTTCAGCGAGCTTGTTAAAGTGATGGGAGGGAGGTGGGGAAATGAAGACCCACGTATATAAAACATGGACAGTGAATCTCCCTCTCACTCCAGGAACAGGTTGTCCCTCTATAGAATCTGTATGAGAGCTGCTCCCACTGAAGAATCAGTATGGGAGTGAAGCCCAGCATTGAGCAAATATGAAGGAGCATTGAATGATCCTCCTGTTCTCATGGTTTCCCAGGTCCTGGCTGCTGTCTACAAGGCCCTGAATGATCATCATGTCTACCTGGAGGGGACACTGCTGAAACCCAATATGGTGACTGCTGGACATTCCTGCCTCAAGAAGTACACCCCTCAGGAGGTAGCCATGGCAACTGTCACTGCCCTCCATCGCACCGTTCCCGCTGCTGTTCCTGGTAACTCCTCACTCATTACTCTCCATTATGGTTCCTTGCAGATTCACGGATCATCTGCCCAAGTGCCTCAGACTCTTATTGAGGTTGCTTGTAGAGCCTGTCCTGGTTTAAAATCATCAAGTCTCATGTATTGAGATGCAGTCAGACCTGTGGGGGTCAGACCGCCAGATCTCCCAAGTTTAGTCTAACATGCCTCCGTTTGCTTCCATTTAGTCTGTTCTTGAGGATTGGGTTGTGGGGTTGTTGTGTTGACAGATTTTAGGATGGTTTGTTGCATCTCCAGTTATAGATAGATCAGCAGACACTGGTGGCAGGTTTGACTGGGCACCATATGCAATGTCACTGAAGACCTATAGGCTGCAGTATCTATGGATATTGAGTTGATCTTATTCTCTTCAGTCTCACACAAATGCCTTCTATGGGAAAAAATTGATTTGTGATTCTTTATGTTCCCACTGCCTCCACTACACGATTGTATTTCATCTCAGGAGATCAGAGTGAATCATGGTCTCTAGACATTTTCGTCTTTTTTTTCCCCCTCTTGCAGGAATCTGCTTCCTATCTGGAGGCCAAAGCGAAGAAGAGGCTTCTCTCAACCTCAGTGCCATCAACCAATGCCCTTTGCCCAAACCCTGGAAACTGACCTTCTCGTACGGACGTGCTCTGCAGGCATCGGCACTTGCTGCATGGTCTGGCAAACCTGAGAATAAGGAGGCTACACAGGAGGCTTTCTGCAAACGGGCACGGGTAAGTGACACACATTTGGCTGGCTGACTGAGATAACAGGCAGTCCCCGACTTACGCGGATCCGACTTATGTCGGATCCGCAGATACGAACGGGGCTTTTCTCGCCCCGGAGGACACGGACTGCAGACCAGGAAGACGCGGAGCAAAGGGCTGTCCCACTGCGGGCGTGCTCCGCGGCTTTGCTCCCCGTCTCCCTGGTCTGACCAGCAGACCAGGGAGATGGGGAGCAAAGCCTCGGAGCACACCAGCAGTGGGACAGCGCGGTGCGCCTGGACTGTCCCACTGCCCGCGTGCTCTGCGGCTTTGCTCCGCTTCTCCCAGGTCAGCAGACCAGGGAGACGGAGCAAAGCCGTGGAGGACTTGGGCGGTCCCGCCACCCCCGTCTCCCTGGTCTGCTTGGGGGGGGAGGGGTGCAGCTAGTGCCCCCTCCCCCCAGCAGTCCAGGCTTTTCTTGCCTACCCCTTGGGTAGAGCAGCTGGGGACTGCTGGGTTGGTCCCGCAGCGCTGCTCCGGACCAACCCGGCAGCACCCCCGCTGCTCTGGCCCAGGAGCCCGAGGCAGAGTTGCTCTGCCCCAGGCTTCCTGGAATCAGCCGCTGATCAGTTTCAGCAGCAGCTGACTTGGGGACGCCTGGGTTTCTTAAGTTGAATCTGTATGTAAGTCAGAACTGGCGTCCAGATTCAGCCGTGGTTGAAACTGATCAGTTTCAGCAGCTGCTGACGCCAGTTCCGACTTACATACAGATTCAACTTAAGAACAAACCTACAGTCCCTATCTTGTACGTAACCCGGGGACTGCCTGTACTTCAGACCTTCTAGTTCTAAGTCTGGGTCTTTAAAAGAGCCATCATCCTACTTCAGAGACACTGCACATCACATGCTCTCAGATGGGGACATGTTCTCCAAGTTCTAAAGATCCTTGTTGCTTTGATCCCTCTTTGTATTTGTTTCATGTTCATCCAAGGATGTTTGTTTCTTGAATCTGATTTTTGGCTGACAGCTGTGCATGAAAGTCTTACACTGCAAACTGCACTGCAAGCCTTGCCATGAATCCCAAAAATAATCCTCAAACCTACTTTGGAGACATCTGTAAGAATAAACATGTGGTTTACTTTCCTTGCCCAATCAATCTTTGGCCTCTTTACTGAAACTGCCAACTAGGATGCTAATTAAAAGGTAATTTCTGTGGACATTTGTTTGAGATGGCCATCTCATTTCTTATAGGTCAACACACACCGATCACATAGCAATAAGTTTTGGTCACTACCATCCTGCCTTAGAAGTATCATAGGCTTTACTCTATCATGTGTTTTCTAAATTCTCCAATCGTCCTTTTTAAATTTTGAGAATTCACATAAGCACTACCTATTTCCCTGTGTTGTTTACTTCTCCCTGTTTGTTTGTTTGGTTTTGTTTTTTTAAAATGCTCTCCTCTGGGTAACTTTCTCCCTCCTTGTTTTTTCAGATTAACGGGTTAGCATCCAAAGGACAATATATCGTCGCTGGGAAGAGTGCTGCAGCTGCAACACAATCCCTTTTTACTGCCAGCTACACATATTAAGGTGTAGGAATACACAGCCACCCCATCCCTCTAGTGGTTAGCAGGGGGGAATGAAAAAGGAAAAATCCTAATTCTCTAAGGAAGTCTGGAAATCATGTGAGTTCAAACTATTGGCTCCACTGCCCACTCTAATGCTAAAATGTAAGGAGAAAAATCACATCATCTTATCCTAGGGAACTCGTACCTGTTTTACACTCTTCGTCCCTACTGCCATTCATAAATAATCAAATTGCTCTCTCTCCCTGAGAAGATGGTTTTTGACCTTGTTCCCCAGAAAAATGGGAATACAGGGATCAATTTTCACCCCATGCTATCAATTTTCTCTCTTTACCAGCAAAAAATGTACATGCCTCCTCCAAAACCACACTTTGCATCTGGGAAGAGCACATTTGACTCCTGTATTACACATGCCAGATATGTTTTCAACCTAGGGGCTGCAAATAAAGCATCTGCAACTGTGAAATTATATGTATCTGATGAAGCTTAACTGTGTGTGAAAATTTTGTTCTCTCTCAAGCACACATGTACACCTTTGGCTTGCTCTCAACTTCTTATTGAATTTTTGTGCATAAACTAAAGCAGACAAAATAATTGCCTGTGAATCACCAATGAGATCAAAACCATATTTTTAAAAAGTGAAATTCCGCATTACTGATTTGGCCTTCATCTTGCAATTTGAGTTCAGAGGCCCTCCAAGGTGAGCTCAGGGCTCTGACTATGTGGTGAATATCTGAAGGTCATAGTGATAGATAACTAAAGCTAGCTCCAAAAACTGTCCAAAGAATCCTCTTCAATTTTATGCTGAGCCTGGTACATACTGCAACAGGACATTGAGAGCTGAGTTAGATATTATTCACAAATCACTAACTCTTACATGACATTTTTCATCTAAAGATCTCAAAGCATTTTATAAAGGAAATAAACATTGCTATCCCCATTTTACAGATGCGGCAACAGAAGCACAGAGAATTTGCCCAAAGCTACTCAGCACTCCAATAATAGAATCCATGTCCTGAATTCCCAGGCTATGCTCTATCCACTAGATCCTACTTCCTCTGAGATACTGATCTAGTGCACACACGCTCAGTAAATCTATAGTCACTGTTACATATGGTTCAAGCAATATGAGTGAGGGTTTGTATCAGAGCCTGCCCTGGAACCCTGGATGTCTCACAATGCTTTGCTGTTGTAGTTCCCATCTTGAGCAGCTCTGTCTACCACCATGGAGGTCACCCTCTGAAGGTCTGTATACAACTGCAGTCCTGGTCCAGCAATTCTGACCCCAGCAAACTGTCTGGCTTCCATCAGCCTTGATTACTACTTGCAGATGACCCCAATACATGCCAGACCCAAATTTCCCAAAAAAACATGTTCTGCATTGGTCAGCCCTGCCCTTGTTGCCCCATAAAGAGTCAATATTCAACAGTTTGCTACTTTAACTGGAGTGACTAAACAGTACAGTCTAAACACAGCATTGGATTGGCTTAGATTTAAAAACATAAAACAGGCTTAGCAGCTAAAGAAGATTAAGAGAATGCCAGTATGAGAGCTAAAGTTTGAAATGGATATAACAAACAAAAGGGAAAACATGCATCTCAAACTTAATCCAGCAGGTCTGGGTTCAAGGATTTGTTCAAGATGGCCTCTCTCACTAGCACTCATCCAGCAGGATGGTGACAGGCCCTCTCCTTGGTCAGGATCTCCTCCTGGAGGGCCACCTATATATCGGTGCCTTTATTTCCTTAGACGAAATAGAGATCACTTGGGCTATGTCTACACTGGTGCGATCTTGCGCCAGAGCTATGCAAATGAGGCTAAGCGTGGAATATTGCCGCGCCTCATTTGCATATGTAATGAGCCACCATTTTTGCAGAAGGAGCTGTCTACGCTGCCTCTTCTCGCACGAAAAACCCTCTTGGGCAATGCCGCTACGCTGATTATTTTCAGGAATAACGGCAAGGGGCAGCGTAGACAGCTCCTTCTTGTGCAAGAGCCTCTTCGGCAAAAACAGTGGCTCATTAGATATGCAAATGAGGCTCGGCGATATTCCACGCTTAGCCTCATTTGCATAGCTCATTTGCATAGCTCATTTGCATAGCAAGATCACGCCAGTGTAGACGTAGCCCTGGGGTTCTC